TTCGGTAACCCCCACCTCCCCACCCCCACTCTCCCCAAAAATGTAAATAAAAAATATAAATAAATACAGTAATGAATCTAAAATTTCAAATGATTTTCTTTCGTCAAACTAACTAAGCTTTGAACTTTTTTTCTGATCGATTTCTGCGTTGACACTTTGTACTGCCTGCTTAGCCAGTAAATACTTAAGCTAATATAAGATATCTTTTACACGATTGTTAATAATCAATCAGGTGAAAGATTAATTTTGAACGTATGTATATATATATGTTCAAAATTAATCTTTCATCTGATTGATATATATATATATATATACATATATATATGTAATCCTGCAATTGGCACAGTCATTGTTGGAACACACCTGTCTTTTTTTCTGTATTCGCCTTGGGTAAATTAGCCTGGTTTTACCCAATCAATTTTTAGGGGGTCGCGAGGGGGAATATGCCCAGCATAGGAAATGTAATGCTTTATCATTATGATAACGATATGATGGTTATAATTCACCTCACTTATTTCCGCCTTAAAGGAAATTGATAGAACTCTGCATGCAATGAGGCCGGTGTCATTGTTATTTCAACGCTTCTCTTCTCGCCTCGTCAAACATGAAGCCATCCCTAAAAGCAAACATTTGGATGACATTGTGCTGTCTAAAGAAAGTCGTTTGCGCGTAGAGATATGGCATCTCGTGACAGTAAATATTAAGGAAACCTGCATTTTTATGAAACGATAACGACTAAAAGAAAATGCATGTAGACGATATTTAGAAAATGATTTACTAGATCGACTTAAGTCAAATCACAAAGATCGATCCTTAGTGACAAAATAAATCTTCTTTGCATCGACATGTTTCGACGCGGGAAAGAAAAATGTGTCTATCATCTCAACAAATATTACGACTTCCCATGTGCTGTTTACAAATCTGAAGACCGAGTTCTCGTTCCCATCAAACTCGAGACTCGGGCTGGTCTAGTAGTGATGGATAATTATCATGAATGATGTGCCAACCATGTTAAACTTAACCGTGCTATGGAAATAAAAATTAAATCCGAAATTTGTCAACGCCATAAGCCGATGAATGAAGGCCGACTTCTAGGAACGAGGAAGCAATCCATCAAAACAGGGGAGCGACAGTTGATACACAAATCTTACCGTTTAGGACTAGAGTTTGTTCTGCTACAAGCATCTAATCCTGCGAGAGCTTCTTTTTTTTCTTATTACTGAAATAAGTTCAGGCAAATCAGTAAGGGATATTTTACACAGAGACCAAATTAACATCACATTTTCACAAGGTTTAAACAACAGTAAACCCACCAAGTTTACTAACGTAGGATGAACATGACAAATTTCATTTTGAAGAAGGTAACGAACGCCTTACATTTCTGGAAGCGTCTATTTCAACTTAAAGCATTCATTTAGCAGAAGGCAATTTCATGGATATTGAGATATTGTGAATACTAAGAAATGTCCTGTATGTGTATCGTAATGTTGTTGTCTATGAGAACTTTAATATCGCTATTTGAAAAGTCAGTTATGACAGGTTTCACGGTATCCCGAAGGAAATATTCTCCTCCGATTGTACAATCAAAGTGTTGTATTCTAGCATTCATTACCTTGCTTTGTAGTTTGCAAACAAATTCGTGTTTATATGCAATAAGTAAGAGATAATGTTTTGCGCTCTGGAGGAAATACAAATTATGAAACCATGAATAAATAATTATTTGCAGAAACAGGAGTGGTACTGCATTGAGAGTCTACGTACGTTATACAAACATCCTCATTCGTAACGTTGAGATTCATGTCAATAATCTTTTGTAGGGTTTCACACAAAGCTAATCTTTGGATTTGTTTTTAATACATGATAGCGAAATGCGAGAAAAAATAATACAAAAAATCCGATGACTGCTGTCTACCTAGGACGTTTCACTTAGGACGAAATCACGTTTTCCTCAAACATAAAAATATGCAATTATAGACCACTGACAAGGTAGATATAGTATATCAACTTCAAAAACAGAATTCAAATAGTGTGATGTCATAGTTGTGTATCATACGCATAACAAAACGTTTTAAATCACTTTACAGTAACACAATTCGTTATTGTATTGTATTTTCTATTTTAGTTAAAATGAGAAACAGATGTATGATTTTATTGAATTGTGAATCACCAATACATGCATGTCGATAGGTCTGGATTTTCTGGTATGTCATTGTTGTGGTCAAGCGTTTGTTAATGCACAATTAAGATATTTCAGGGACACTCAAGTTAAAAGGTATGTTTGGCCTGCTTTGTTTTGAACAGGTCGGTCAATATGCCTTCCTGTAAGTTATAATGTGATAATATAGTTTGGAAAATACAATTGTTTTAATAATAAGCAATTTTTTGTTTTTTTTTTTTTTTTTGTTTTTTTTTTAAACGAAACCGAACATCTATCTATCCCTAGTAAACACCGTGCTGTTATTTTTAAAAAATCCTACATTGGTATAGGGGCATTTAATCTTTTTAACTATCGGTATATATATTTATTGCGTACAATACAATACATGAAACTTGATATGAGAGAGAGCAGAAAAGTACAAGGACTAATTTTCATCTTGTCTATCGTTAAACGTAACTTCCGGCCTGTTCTTGTAATTGATGTTTCGCACTAGAACATCAACGAATGTAAAGTACTTGGCGCAGAGCACGGATTGTCCTGGCGGTCGATCAATGCTGCAATACTGAATACAGAGGTATAAACAGTGATCTTGGCCGGAACATCAGTCTGTTTTCTTCCGTTTCTTTTTTTATAACAGCATCGTCCTTATGACCTTCAGATATATATATACAATATCCTTAAGACTGTGTTCAGTTATTCCATACATCAGTGGACGTGCGAGAATGTGCTGCTCTTTTCATGTTCTTTCTTTCCACAGATGAACTCTTCTCGCTAGTTTTGGTAGCCATGAAAATGAAACAGAATAACAAAGATCAATTCTGACTATGTGGTGATGTGTGTGTGGATGTTTATTCGTAGAATAGTCAGATTGGAATGTTTTGTCGTTGTTATGGAATGGTTTATTGATTTATCACAGTATAATCGAGTAAACATTTCTCGTTATCGGATAAATACTTAACACAGCATCCTATATGTTTATATGTAAAACGACATTTTTAAAGACAAAAGAAGAAACAGGATGATAAAGTTTTTTTTTCTGACTATATATCATTAATCAGTGTTGACTTATTGTGTACAACAGATATTACAATCTGACAATATTGACAATCCAAGATATTGAGTCTGAAGCGCTAATCCCTTGTTGAACAGAATTGATGCAAACTTTTCAGAGATAAGCACGGACTAAGAATCGCATGAAGTAATTATACTGAAACTTGATGGATATGTAACAGTTTGAATGACAGATGTATTGCCATCCAGATGTTGGTACTCGCACAAGCAATAGTTTTGATACACCATAGGTTATTCACATCTACAAAGATAGGTGATGATCTTATTTCCGGAATTGTGAACTTTCCATGTCTGGATAGCAACAACCCTGCATCCCCAACCTATGGTGTTTATATATCATAGATGAGTCGATATTCAAGGGGTTGTTCTCAATATCACGATTTCCGTGCAAAAAGGTGTCGACAAATGACAGAAGGTGTTTCGAATGATAAAGGTTGATGAAGAGCACGGGAATTTTTCTTTCTTTTTATCGTGATAATGATCTCATTTGGAAATATTGTGTTTCATTGTGAGATATTAAACTGGTGTTTAATGCTTCATAGTGAGTCTAGTGGTTCCGTTGTTATTTACCTCGTCCTCATTTGGGAACGTGACATTACTCACTTGGACTGACCAAGAGTTTACGTTTTGGGTGCAGTCGATAAAGTAGAAGACACTTACCCTTCCGGAATACATGGACTTGTTTGAATTTGGTTTTAGATGAAAACTTGATTACTTGTCGGTTTTTAGAATACCTGTTACGGAGAAAAATTGGAATATGAGCTAAAATATCCACGAGTCCCAAACGTATCACACCAGTACACCTACATAATATCAAAGAGAACACAATCTATGTAAATAGAGTATCGAATACCGTGGGGTCACTGTCTGCGCTAGGATTATAGTGTCTAATAATATAGTGAATGCGTCTGGTGGACAATATAGGCTATGCTATATAGAATGTAATTTTTGAGAGTTTCTATTTTTCGGAAATTTTGAGATTGCAGTAAAACCGCGGAAAATCTATTGAAAATAACATTTCTAGTAGAAACCATTGTCCGTTTTATAAGGAATCCGTTTTAATTCAAGCTCTTAATAAAACCGCAAAAATTGAATGTCTCTGTACCTTAGGCTAGGTACTTTATCTCACTTGCTTTAGTTGACAGGAGACAAGCTTCTTGGTTCGCGGTGTGAATTTATAAAGGTTTTGGCAAATAATTCACACTCATGTTTGTAAGGATTCCTTCGATAGTTTTACCCAGTTGTCATCATTGTATCAGTTTCAATAGTAGCTTCAATAACTGGTATTCCTCACTTTGAAATTTTCAGAAGTAGGAGATCTTGCATGACTTTTCTTTTCATGCGAGAATCAAGCAAATGATCATTTTAATCTTACCTCATCTCTCTAATTCGAAAAAAAAAAATCAAAAAAATAATTTGTATTATTGTATTATAAATTTCTTAATAATTTGTCACTTAACTAAAATACCTTTTAATGTAACTCATATTAAGTTTTCCTTGATAACATTCTCCTATCTACTCCTATCTTGAGTGACGTCAAAATGCGTATGACGCTATATGAATATGACGTCACGATTGGACGATGGAATCTTCGGCCAACCAAAGCACTGTTAGGCGTTACTTTACGTCACAATTTCTGAAATGGGTGTTATTACAATGATAACAAGGTAATGATGTAGTCAACCCAAATTATAAAAAAAACTGTTCCCTAAATAACTACAAGCACAACACAGATAAACATTTATGACGAGAATTTTATTAAGTCATTGGAACATATACCGTATTAGGCGTTTGGTATATTTATTTATTTTCAAATTAAACATAGATTAAAATAGCATGAAATTGCTCTTTTGTTATTCAAACAAAACATCAGTACAACATGAATATCAACAGCTGGTCAATCCATGTACCTACGGACCTAAAACAAATCACAAGTGACGTCATTGCTATAAATACCTTTTAATATCAGAGACATTTTTGTTGAGACAAAATAAATTCGCACTTTTAATACTCATCGCTGCAAAAGCGTTATTGCACAAATCACTTTATTGCGATAGTTTTGTGTATATGACAAGCAACAATAAAGCACCGGATGATATATATACATATATGTGTGTATATACAGACGTTTATAAATTGCAAACAGTCTAAAGCTGTCCACTCTTCTATTTTGAAAACAATATTGGTCTGGTCACATGACCCGTCAAAATTAAAGACAAATGACAATGGAAAAATGAAATTTACTGGGAATGGTTTAACAAGCCAAATCAACATTTATTCAAGAAGCAATGTCGACATTCAAACTGACGCTAATTATCTATAAGCGTCAGGCCTAAAGAATAGCAATGATAATATGTTTCCCGAGCTAGTTTGTTTTCCCATCTTTTGAAATGGGAAAACTGAAATTTAATCGTTAACATTAAGAGATGGCTACATTAAACGTAAAACATCTCCTCTTTAACCGTTTTAAGGCTGCTATAAATACCCTGTTTTTCGCTCAGTACGTTGAAAATAATTCTGAATGATTTTTCAACATATCTATTTTTACAGTAGATAATTTTACAACTTAAGCGACCCATATTGGATAAATATTACGTTGGCATGCAATGAAATAGTGTTGATTGTGATAGGGAAATCAGAAACTGATGTCTTTATCAGTATCATTTGTAAGTAAGATAGTTTGCATTTTCTGGTAAAACTAATACTAGCATGTTCACATTAGGAAAAATCTTCCTTTTTAATCGATTTTTGCTCATTTCATTGAAACATCCGTATAACTGTGTAATCAAAAATACCTTCTCAGCTCCAGATTAGAAATCTCTATAAAAACCGTATCACAGGACGACTAGACATGCCGATATCATCCGTATCGGACGATCAGATATCACAGTAGGACGACTAGACACATTGATAACGTCTACATGACTGTCGATCAAATATTTTCATACAGATTTTACCATCGCAGATTTTATCTCTTTTACCAAATGGTGACCAGACGAGCAGACCGAAACTTTAAATATCAGTATCACACCTCCTTCATTATCTGTATCACACGGCAACCGGTCGGGTTCAAAGAGCCAGTAACCATTCTGAGATCCTTCGTTCGCGAAGCTTTTCGTCTAGTTTTGTGTCGATACCATGGCTTTGTAGAAATGAAGTGAGTGGATTGATATTGTCCGCATCGGTAGTAATATCTTCTTCTGTCTCATCGGATATTGATTGGGCACATGGTTTTAACCAAGTATCGCTGAAGTATTTTTTAATTTCCTTTACATCGCATCTCCTCTCTACTTTTGCTTCCAAAGTTTTACGGAAAAATCGGAGGATTCTTGGTGTAAATTTTCTCCATTGCGAAGGTGTTTTTGTACATTTGCGTCTTTGCCACAGCGAAAATTCATTATAATATATATCACTTATTTCCGCATTTTCCCAAGGAAAATTTCCTGTCATCATACAGAATAACAACACCCCAAATGCCCAAACATCACCAGAGGAAGATACTGTTATACTTTCGTTTTTAACCGCTTCACACACTTCCGGTGGCGTGTATGGTATGCTTCCGTTAACTTTACGTAAAATGAGTCCTTCTTTTCTTGTCATACCAAAGTCGGTTAGCTTTACCTTACGAAAATCTGGCTCGAAAATGAGAATGTTTTCGGGTTTTATATCCCTATGTACGAGATCATTGCTGTGCATGAAATCCAAAGCAGACGACACCTGCTTTATAACGTTTTTCACGTCATTTTCCGCCATTCCTTGTTGCGGAGGAATTTTCTCAAATAAATCTCCATACGCAGCAAATTCCTGCGCAAAGACAAATGCTGTTCTGGTTTCGAACGCCACATTGTAAGTGTCCACAACATTGGAGTGAGGCGAAAGAAAGTAGCTGAAGCGAAATTCGCGCTCAAACTCACGCAGCTTCGTATTGCTCTTTGACAACACTTTCAAAGCAACGTTCTTCCCTGTTTCTCTACACCTTGCGAAAAGCACCTGACCGTACGTGCCCCTTCCAAGCTCCCTTGTAACGTCATAATGGTCCTTAAGTGTAAGTCTGAGTAGGTTATCGGCCGTGCTGCAACGCGGGGATCTTGGGATGACTCGGAGAGAGTCTGTTTTCAGTTCAGTCATCATCTTGAAAAAAGTTTGTTGTTCGCTTTCCTGTAAAAAAGGTAAAAAAGAGGTTAGGAATTACAATCAATCAAATTTCGTAAAGCACATTTATTCATCAATTAACATTATTTTCTTCTTTTTCTTCAAATTCTCAGGAATATCTGTCAGTTTCTTGTTTTGTGGAATCTACGTTCAATTAAGTACTTAAAGACGCTTTCGTAATCTTTGATTAAATTTTACCTTAACTTATACCTAGAAACCATTTTATTTTTGTTTTACTTACTTAATTATTTATTTTTTCATTTACTTATTTATCCATTCTACAAGAACTAAAAAACAACATAACGCTTACACGCCCACTTAATTAAGGATATTGACATCTATAGTTAAAAAAAATTGTTACCATTTCATGGTGAGTAAAAGATCGAAGAATAAAGCAAGTGATGGGAAAAACGAAGGAAAGTAACACCATTGATTTACACAAATAGTGAGCAAAAATACCTAAAATAAAATATTCTAAACTCCTGTTTTGTACTTACACAAAGGGAAAGGTATTTTGAAATAGATACTGGTTTTTTATCAGATAGGTTTGCGGCAGTTATCTGGATTTCCATCTTTTGTCTTTTGTTGTTTTTTTTTTCGCCTAACGCGACCAAAGACTTTTTGATATGCCAAAGAAGACACCGCATGTATGCTTTCTTTTTTGCACGATATTTTTTATGTGAATTTGTTTTGTTGTGCAATACAGAGAATAATATTTCGGAGTACGGTTACACCAGGGAATTTACAGGTACTTGAATTTGTAGAGAATTTAATGTGAATGATAAGTGTATGTAGATTTTCAGGATGCTGTTGTAAAGTGCCCACCGACAAATTTTAAGCACGTAATTTAAAACATGCCCATTGTTACGTTTCGGGTTAGAATTACAAACTTGCTTACCCTAACCATTTATACAGAGACATAAATTGTTTACAATTCTCAATGACTTATGTGAAACAACTAGATTTCTTCAGTCTTTAAACACAAATATTTAAAAATGCAGGTTTTGCTTTAAAAAGTAACAACTACCTGTATTTTGTAACATTGAAAAACACAAATATATTTTTAAATGAGATTTTTAATGAAAATTACCACATTCCCCTTTCGAAAGCTAGAACCTAGTAATGCCGAATTAAATGTTAGTACATTTGACATATTTGAGAAGACGACATTGACAATGTGTGTGTACTATGAGGCTTTGACTGCTGTTAGTAGTGTTCAATAAAATAACTGAAGAAGATGTACTCTAAGGGCTAAAATAACCTCAAGCAAACTAATCTGACAATGTTAATGACGCGATTCGATCAGTTTCGTGTGTTTCCCATTTGTATCCTCGTATGGCCAGATAGTGCAGTTCTATAGATCTAAAAATACCCACCGATTATACCGTCAGTGTGCCGAAAGCCATTTATTCTAATTATCTCAGATTGACCTACATGATAAGAACATGCTAATTCATTATCTTGGTTCTTTGATCATCAAAAAAAATTGACTGGATCGTAAAGTCCTTTCCATGTTTTATTAAGTGCGGCCAATAAACGATTGTACGCGGCATTTGACTGTCGTTATAGCGAGATTTAGCGATAAACCGAGGGATTTATTAATGATGTCAGTACTATTGGTTTTGAATGAGATGGCAAATGTCAAGAGGGGCGTTATATCAGTGTAGGGCCTGAAACTATGACGTTATATAGAGGTTTAAATGTGATTTAATAGGGACAGAATATCTTGGACAAATAATTGACGTTGTATCGAGGTTTTGTTCTATAGAAATGAAGCATGGTATCAAGACACAATTTTAAGACATAATGTGAATCAAGATTCTTTAAATCAAATCAAAAGTGTTTGTTTGAAGAAGCAGTCTACACAAACGTTAAAACCTCGTTAAACTGGAAGAGGGTTTGTGTATGTCTAGTGCCTCTCTGTAACTGGATCTAATTTGATCACTTTGGATTTTCTTGAGTCGCCTCCTAGGTTTAAAATGCATGCTCTTAACATCAATGACGAGTCCTAGACAGTAAAAAAAAAACTGTATGATGCAGTTTAATTCATCGTTTGGCTCTACTGTTTACTTATTTCAATTTGTATTGAAACGTGCTACTCTCTTAATGTCTTTTGTACAGTCTTAGTAATCAATAAACCCCACCTTGAATATCAACTCATTTCACCGGTTTATAATTTAGATATTTAAAGAGGGCGATTCACAAGTCAACCTCGTGTTACCTTTTGTTTTCAAATCGTTCTAAAAGTTTTAAAATTCTTAACATTATTTTTTTAAGAATGTTCTAGAAAAATATACACATACATATAAATGAATGATACTGTTGGTGCAATTAATTTCAGTGGTAGTTCCGCAGCTGTTTAATTTGTTGAAGGCAGTGTATGACAATTATCGTAGTGTAAATGGAGCGTTATATTCTATTGTGTATTAAATCAGAGATAAACACAACAGTTCTTAGTTAGACTGTCCAAGACAATGATTAATGCACACTATTTAATGAACAGATAATCTTCCACACGCATTCCTGTCTTTCTGATCTTTAAACTTTTTTCTATTGATACAATGGTGGCTTTGTCTTATTTTAAGAAAAAAATATTATCATAATGATGAAAGAGATGTGTTTTAGAGGCTGATTGCGAAAAACAGAGTCCCTCGAAAATTCACAAAATTGTATACTTTTGGTGTAACTATTCAGGTAGCGGGAAACAGTTAAGTTGTACTTTTTCTGAAATTATTGGTCATACATGTATAACATGTTGGTTATGAAACATACACTCTTACACAAACATATCTATATATATATGTATGTATAATCTACATAACAATTACATTAAAGGTAGAGAAATAAAGGTTGTGTCAATATGAAATATCCCCTGCTTTCTGACGTGTGATTGTCATGGTTACCAACTCAAAAAATGCTAAAAGTGCAAAACTACTATTGATTACAACCTAACACTACAATTTAAATCTATTTCTGAACACCTTTCTTTAAACTAGGATACTGTCATGTAAATAAAGCATATACATTTCCGTAAATTCCAACTCGGAACATGACCATGTGTAAACACTAAGGAAATTACATTTCCTGTAAAGTTATTTTTGAAGTGTAGACACAGATTCGAGACAGCACGAATATTAATCTCCAACACAATGCAAAATATTATTCTGAAAAATATGAAACCTCATGTTCACTTCAACATGCAAGACCAATTTTAGCAAGGATTCGTTTTGTAATTTTAATTAAGATCTTTATAATGGGAAAATACAATGATCAAAAGTATCGCCCATGGCCACACCGAGAAACTATGTACTGCTACCTCAATAATGTGTCTTTAAACAAAAGAATGAAAATGATCACACTAACAAAGTGCCTTAATGAAAACAGCAAATAAAATACCCACATGTCAACAGAGTTATAGCCTAATCTTAAATTCAATAAAACTAGGGCAAACTTTTAACAAAAGAAATATTAAGATGCAGACTCCTGGAAAAGTTAAAGGATAATAAACCAGGTGTTTCACAAGAGTAAGTGTTTTCTGCTTATTTGAACGTTGTGGATACTGATCTTTAAAAAACCTTTCACCAAAACACTATCACTTTGTCTACTAAATGATTATCAAAGTGATGATGTTTTTTTTTTCTTGTGTGAACAGTTACACAGTCAGCAAAATATTATTCAATATCATTTATTTCACTCGTTAATTTTTGAAGCCTACAGGCCCTGTTTACGAGAGAGATTATCTTCCCCTTCAAAACAAACTACAAGAAAATAAGTAAGGCTGTTGTTTTTTGAGAGTCATCGGCGATTGAAGGTTAAGCAAATCCTCGAATGTGGGACATGAACACTCCAAATTATTAACCCATAAACGACACGTTATATCTGACCGAATATTTTTATTAGAAATGTTATCTTTGCATCTATAAATAGTCTTGTGGCACATATACTGACGTCACGAAATATATAGCATAATGGTATTTGTGCACATCCATATCTCTATTACTGTTACTTAATTACCTTTATAGATTTTTGTTACTCTGCTCGATGTCCCAATTTTTCAGGCCCCTTGCATCATTAATAAGTTTCATAAGGAAAAAAACAGCGATTTCATTCAAAGTTTTATTCTACAAACAGATTTAATTGAACAAAATTTTACCTTGTCTTGAACTGGTTTTTAAAAGACCTAGCTCACACAAAAGGAGGTGTTTTTTCTTGCCGCGGAAAGCACTATAATGATGCTACTGAGGCCTCACTCCAAGATCAAAACAAAATTCCGAGATATATTACATTTCCTAATGATATATAGTCTAAGTTTAAATGATCTGTAGACGTCTGGTCTTTATGTATCCCGTCTAGGTCCTTTACAACAATGTTAATTTACAAGTCGATGTCTGTCATTTATTGTCTGCGAAACCTTGCATGGTATTGATATTTTGTAACGAGAGACCTGTCTAGCTTTAATGCGGACATGGCGCTTTAGTTACTGTAAAAGAGAAAATGAGTTTATCCGTGACCTTAAGTTGGGTGTCAAACACGATCATCATGCCTTAATGACATTGATTTATGTCGATGGAATGATTTCTTTCTTTTGTTAATATTTTGCCCTAGTTTTACAGAGTTTGAATTTCGATGATTATATTGAAATGTTGGTATTTTCTTGTTTTTAGTTTGTTTTTTATCTTTTTTATTATTCATTTGTTCATATAACAATATTTTCCACTTTACTTCGTATGTGAATGTGAAAATAGGCCAGTTATAAATCACGTTACCGTGACCGACTTAATTCGTAAGGTCTGGTAGCTGAAAACAGAATTGGAACAAAGCTAACCCTAGTATCATGTTTGTGATAATTTGAACAATAACATTGTTTTACTTCACATCTCCTGACATTGCTCCCCAAGAAATCTATGACCAACACAAAATCTGATGTTTTGAAAAGCATAATATATACAGCTGACCTTTTTCCAAAAATCACTATCTTCTCCCTGAGCGGTCACAAAATGGCCCCA